CTAGGTCAAAATCCTTACCTGGTTTGCTGCAGGCTGCACGCAGGCTGCTCCTGATAAGATCATGCTGCAGAGTCTCCTACATGATGCAAAAACAGAAATTTCAAAATGCCAATCTAGTTCCGGGATTGTTGAAGAACGAGGATCTGGGACGTGTTTCATTCCAGACATCTAAACTTTTTAAAGCCTTGCCAAAGACAGTGTTTTTAGCCTTTCTCGTGTATGTTCTACGTTTGCAGGCGCCGACAAGACCTAGGTTGGAGCGAGGTTTTTAGGTTTGGTTCTGTAGGGTTTAGGTGTAGAGGTTCATGGTTGATGGTAGGTTAGGGTTTAGGTTTTGGAATTCTTGAGGATTGAGGGTTCTTTAGGGTTTAGGTTTTTCAGGTTTAGGGTTTGGTGTTATTGAGGGCTTTGTGTTTAGGATTAAGGCGGCTTAGGGGCTCTCAAGGGTTCAGGATTTGGGGTTGTCTGGGGCAATTCGTTTTGCGGGTCCGGACATACATACCTATCGTAGGAGCCTAACCAGGTTCGGGATGCGTTACTAGACTCAACGTATGTAAGTTATCACGGAAACTGTGGAAGCATCCATGGCTAGCAGGCTTACATGTTAGATGACGGGTTGAATTGTGTTTAGTTTTTGTTGTTTGGGCTTTGGGGTTCTTCAGGGTTGTTTAGGATTTAGCGGGGGTTGTGGGAGTCGGGATTTTGGTGGTAGGGAGCGGGGGTGGTGCTGCCGGGAGGAGGCCTGGCCGAAGGGGTGGTGGTGAGGTGGCTCCTTTGTCTGATTTTTCTGTTATTCGGTGACACGTTGTGTGATTGCACAACCGCTGCCCTGTGCCTAGAGCTGGCAAACAAAGCACGCATCATGTCAAAGCAAACCCAAGGCTAGCAGGCTCAGCAATTCTGCACGTGCCTTGAGATTTTCTTTCAGGCCCAGCCACCTCAGATTCCTGTGTGGAAACTTCCACCCATTGACGCACATGCAGTTTGAGGACATGCCGCGATCACAAGACTGCAGCATGTAATGATGTGTTGCAGAATGCGGTTCCAAAACTCTGGTCTGACTGGCAGGACTCTGCAAAGCAAAAGGCGTTTGAAGCACAGACAAAGGCAGCAGCCTTGCGTGTCCGTGCCGTTGTGTCTCTGGCTGTGATTGGGCCGGGTGTGGTGCCGGGTTTGGTGGAGGTATGTGGAGGTAAGACTTAGGGTTGGCATTTTGGAGAGATGGCCGCCCTGTCGAGGCAATAACGCAGGCTTTGTCTGAATTACCATCGCAGTGCCTCGCACCTGGTTTGCATGCTTCCTTGAGACCAATTGTTTTTAATTGTGAGCCAGCTTCATACCCGGTTCCAAAGGTTCAAACCTCGAGCTGCACATGAGCTCGCAAGAGCCTGTCTTGAAGCAGATACAGCTAATCAAGGACTAGCGCTGTGTCTTGGGTGAAGTCGAAGCTGAACAGCTTAACGCTGGCGAGGAACACTTACGAGCACCTCTATGGATGCTGATGCATGACTTCCGAAGCCTGCAGGGAGAAGAGAAGCTCCTTGTGGAGGACCGGGTTTCGAAGTCATATCAAGCTTTCATGATCAAATTCTTTCAGGACGTGCGGCAAGCTGTGCGAGCTACCGCAGAGCTGCAGGCCGGTCTGAAGGGTTGAGGCATTTGTGGCCCGGTGACTTGCTTGCTGTCCAGGCGCGAGAAACGGGCGAGCTGCCGTCATGGCCGCAGGTGCTGGGGGACACTCTCCTTCTGCTGCTTAGACCTCAGCCCTTGCTGCTCTTGCTCATCACTCCTCACTACTGTCCCTCCGTTGCCCTGCCGTTGCATGGATTTGTTGCCATGACGCAGTCAGTCACTTACCTGCTTGGCCAAGGTTACCACTTTGGAAGCTGTCAGCGCTGGCAGTTGCAAAGGGCCAGGCAGGAATTTGAAGTTCAAAGGGAGACAGCATGGTTTGACAAGCGCTGGGGATGCACACGTAGGAAGCCCTGACTCACTTCGTTGCTGGGCCACCACTCGGTGCCTTGCAAAGCATGCCGCAATGCTGTGGATGTCTCGTGGTATGCTGCCTTCGCAATCAGATGCGTGAGGAAGCTGACAAGTTTTCAGGTGCCAACCTGGGGGCACAGAGGCTCTTGCGACGACTCATCGAAGTCTTGCTCAGCGAGAAGGACTTGACCCCAGCGCGGAGACTCTTATTCCGTTATTCTCGGCTGGCAGGCAGATTTCATGGACATTGCTCTTTGGTTTGCAGCCGAACCTTCTTCTGTGGCAGTCTCAGGGCGGGTTGTGTCTGGAGATGTGCAGTGCCAACTGCAGCAAATGATCAGGGACATGGAAGGAAGTGACTTCTCTGCATTATGAGATGTAGTTCTGCGCCATCTTCGAAAGGCAGCCTTGCTGACCAGCGGGGAAGCAGTCAATTTCCTCCTCCCAGAGGCACCAGAATCGCTAGAACAATTGCCACTGTCTTTCTTGCAAGTTGTGGAAGCAGGCGGCGAATGATGACGAGTTCGCAAGCTTCCGGAAAGTGTTCAGCTGAGGGAGAACATCGCTGCCTCTGCCAAGCAGCCACAGATTTCATTCAGGAAGGCCTCATGCGCACGCAAGACAACCTTGCCTACCTGCAGGGGCATCTCCTGAGGCGCAATCTCTGGTAAGCTTTCGCATGCTTTCGCTCTGTAAATGAATGCTTGTCATGACAACTTGGTGAAGGCTGCCAAAGCATTTGCGTGTGCACGTCTCCGCCTACTGGAGGAAGGCTGTTGAAGAGGCTCAGTCTGCGTTCAATGCATTCGGCCGCTTCTTTGGGCCATGGCAGGTCCACTTGTACCTGCAGCTGTACCTTAGAGTCATTGAGGCGCGACAGCCCGTTCGACTGAGGGAGCACATGTGTTTGCATGGTTTTGCCGTGTCACGCTGGCATGCTAACAAAGAGCTGTTCCATTTATTTGTTAACACTTTTTGCCCAAGCCCCTCGTTATGTTTGGGGGCAGGGGGCGCGGCATCTTTTTCAATAGCGACGGCAGCATTGCTGGGCTCGCAAGAACCAGAATCGCAACTGGGTCCCATTTTCTCCTGATAAAGTTCAAGCACGACCCCAAATCAACGCCAAGGATGCCAACCCAGGGCATGCCCCAGACTTGGTCGGGTTGGCAATTCAGCTGTTTCTCCCATCAAGCTTGTAACATGCCTTCGGGTGCATGTGTTCGCGGCACACGCTGCTCATGCTGACTGCAATCCAAATCTCGATGATCGCGAAAGCTAGCGGAGATAGGCTTGTGTTTAGTCTTGCTTTA